CCGAGCGATCGAAAGAGTCAGTCGACAAAAATAGCAGCACCGCGAGCTAAAACCATATTTACCGCAGTTAGTACAAAAAACCCGTTTTTATTTTTTTTTGCCGTAGTATCGAGTTTAGATAGGAATTAAAACCGAATTAAATTAGTATATTTAAACACCGTTTGAGATCACATTTTAACACGTAAATAATTTTGTAAAAATTCAGAAATTTAATAATTAAATTAACAGTCGAAGAATAGTTTCTTGTTTTGATATTGACCGTGTTTATTTTTTTTATTATCGTCTTCGAACGGTGAGGACTGCTTCCGTTATAAATTGACTTTGTAAATAGAATTATTAAATAAGTAAATTGGGAAAAGATAGGAATTAGAGTGTTCATTTTTTTTAAATTTAGATAGACTTTTAAAAGAATAGATTTGTTAAATTCCTATTTGTGGGAAATAAGGGAATTAAATATTTTTTTTGTTGGTTTAGTTTGACTGTTCGCGATATTTTTTTTTTTACTAAAAGGGAGGGTATCATTTCCTGTTTTGAATATAAAATTTCCGTTCCTTTATTTTTCCGTCCTGGCTACTTCCAATTAACTCACTGAGGGCTTAAAGTTTCGTGTGTTAATTTTCCTTCCTGTCTATTCCCAAATAACTCACTGAGGGCTTAAAGTTCCGTGTGTTATTTTCATTCCTAGCTTTCCGCAATTAACTCACTGAGGGCTTAAAGTTCCGTGTGTTAATTTTCCTTCCTGTCTATTCCCAAATAACTCACTGAGGGCTTAAAGTTCCGTGTGTTATTTTCGTTCCAAGCTTTCCGCAATTAACTCACTGAGGGCTTAAAGTTCCGTGTGTTAATTTTCCTTCTTGTCTATTCCCAAATAACTCACTGAGGGCTTAAAGTTCCGTGTGTTATTTTTCTTCCTAGATATTCCTGTCCGACTTGGGGTTATAATAATAAATAACAATAAGAGGTAGTGTGGGTTTGATTCACCGTAGCTTGCTCATTGTATTCAGGGGTTTTAAAAACGAAACAAACATTTAGAAAGATTTCGAGTGGTCCTCACGGGTTACAGAAGTGCCGAAGTTTAATTTTTTTTTTATTCATACTAGCCTTGATTTAAATTTTGATTTACTACCGTAAATTTTGGAATTTTTTAAAACTAATATCCTTGATTAAAATTTTGATTTGCTTTGCGATTTAAACAATTACCGTAAATTTAAATTGTTGAATCCGTATTATCCATGATTTACAATTAGATTATTTTTTTCTCGATTTGAGAGTAATTGCCGTAAATTTAGAATTCATATTATCCGAGATTTAAATTTTGACCTTAGTCTGAGATTTCCGAATACAATTTTTTTTTGTATACGCGACCCCTTTACCGTATCCAGTTTAAGCAATCTGATTGAGAATACCTGCCAACTATATCAGCCGTTCGTTACCGTTTTGCCATTGCTTCATTTTTTTTTTGTTCAGGGTTTCATAACCGAGGGTGGGCGTTGAAATATCTTACTTTTATTTTTTTTAGTGTATATAGTTAAAATCAATATATGTGTCAAAATTACCGTGACTATTACTGAGTTTACTGATCACCAATTTACTTCCCCCTTATTTTTCAGCAGTGAAAAATTCTTTGCAACCACAAGTAGTGATTAAAGCCCATTATTTGTGGCTACTAATTATTTGAGTCTAAGTAACCTTTGACCCCTGGAATTTTTCATCTCCATCTGTGCTGCCCGAGTACTTTCGACGCTGTTTCGAGAGTTTGTGGAGTAAACCATCACCAAAAATCTGGCGCTCGAGAACCGTCCGTAACCAGCGTCATTCGTAAGGAACCGTTTTCTCTGAGGCGAGAAAACCCCTTACAGATTACAAAACGAAAAAGTATGCTATTGCCTTCAATTGAATGAATATATTTCATATCCATTCTAGGTAGTGAGAACACTGCAAAAAAAAATAAATTCGCCAATCACCGTTCATATTTTGATCAACCGACTGCTATTATTTTTAAAATTTTAAATAAATGACAATTCTGTCAAAGTAATTGTCAGTATATTTTTTAGTTATTGAGATTAAACATACAATAAAATAAGTTATTCTTTTGGAAAACGTTAGCATGGATGACTAAAGGGTATTGGGTTAATTAATTCTAAAAGTGTGGTACAAATGTTATTTTTTGTAGCTAATTCTTCAAAATTATTTTAAAATATCTTTTCAATATTGAATATTAGTTCCACAAATTCATCATTTGACAGTTGCAGATTTCCAAATGTATCTGAATTGGCGTTATCATATGCCTTTTAAAAGCAATAAAAAGAAAAATCGTCTAATTCAACGTGATCTTTATTATATTTAAGACAGGTATCGCAGGAGTGGATCCGCAAGGCTTTTATTAAAAGGTAACCACACACATACCTGATAAAATTTTTCTGTAGCAATTCGTCTTTACAATAATTTAGGGTGTTAATAATTTCATCATAAAATAAAATACAAGGTGTTCTATTTAAAAAACATACATTTTAATTTTCCAGGCAAAAACGTGACACCCTGTATATCCAAAGATAATTTTAAAATATGTAGGTATTTTTCAAATCCATATAACTTTTATTTAAAACTTTCTTGCGTGTCTACAACAAAATAATGAACAATAACGCACTAATGAGACACCCTGTATAAATTATATTTTTAACAATGAAAATTTCTTATAATGTAGTACGTATCGGTTTGGGTCCTTGGGAAAACTAAAGAATGTTTTCTTGCAGGTATAACCCTTATTAAAACAGCTTTTGACTGCACAAACTCATTCTACTCACAGCTAAAGAGTCACCAAAATAATAACAGTACCTTTAACTCAAACAAAATCAACGAAATTATAGGCTCCACGAAATTATACAATCAACGAAATTATACGCACGACTCAACACCTTGCCTAAGTACGCTTCTGAACGCCAAAACCGTCTTTTCCCTTCGAAGGCGGAGCTTAAGCGATGCGCGACGAAATCGACGCAAACCGTTGCCGCCAAGAGAGTGTTTTAGCTATATTGTATAAGCTGTGGTAATACCTTTAAACTACAAAATTGATTTTCGGCTTAAAACAAATACATAATAATGTGAAAACACTTATTTTTTTCCATGATCCCTTCTATTAAAGATCACAGTATATTTAAAAAATGTTTTTGGTCACATAAATAGTAGGTTCGGCCCATAACACCTCACAAATTAAATAGATTTAGGTGTGAAAAATATAGACTAACTTTTTTTCCTGTCTTTTCGAAATAAACTCTCACGCTGCAAATGACTTCTTTGGGATTTAAACGATTTGACTGATTCCCAATAGAACCACATAGTACATTACGTTCCCGTGATTAAATCTTTTTTTATCTCGAGCTATTTTGTTCCTTCGCTAACAAAAAAAAAAAACGATAAATTCGTCAATCGTCAGACCGTTAATTTCAGAGAAAAGAGGGTGTGTGCCGGGCTGTGGTGAGTTATTGTTAAAAACCGCAACGCACTGCTTGCTAAATAGAAAGTACTTTTTGGGTATTGATCTACAGGGAGTATTCATAAAATAAATTTTTTATTCGGCAAATTAGAACCCTTAGGAGCAACAATACATTGCTACAGACGGTATAGGTTTTGTAATATTCCACTGCTATTAAGACCGCTATTTCAGTGTATTTCACGTGGTCAAAACAGAGGTTTACAATTATTTACAGAACTTATCTTTTACTGGATGGATTTTAGTGAAACTTATAGTAAAATGTTTAATAGGGTGATTCATTTCCGCAAAGTTTTTTTTTTCTCGGCGCTCAAGCAAAATATTAATCAACCTATAGAAAAAAAAATTTTCACCAAGGTAGATCTCTTAATATCAATTTTAAGTACTTGCAATTTAAATTTAAAGTTTTCCCATTTAAAATGCATGTAAAAAAATGTTTTTTTTTTTCAAATTTCTAATGCTCGCCCGCTTTTTACAATATTGTGAATCGGTTTTATGGACCTTGCAGGGAATTTCACGCTCTACAAAATTGTCTTAGTGTTTTTTTGTGTAACTCGTAGTGGTTCGCCAGTAGAAGTCATCAAAGTTCAATTTTTTGAATGAACATTTTTTTTTGCAATTTTTTTTAACAATTCGTAAAAAAATAGTAAAAAAACAGAGCTGAATCGTGAAAAATAGTCTTTTACAAATATTTGATGAATTTACGGCCATTTTTATATCTCAAAACGTAAGTTATTCATAAATATTAACCAATTATGCTATTTAAATTAAACTTTCTTATTTACTATCGATATAATTCTCTACAACAATAACTTTTTCAGAGTTATTATGATTTCTGACTAAAATAAATATAAACGTAACACATCAATTCATAAAAAAACAACAAATATACAATTGCAATTTAGATTCTGCAATTTTTCACCATTTCCGTAATATAGCAATAAATATAAATAAAGGTTATTCAATTTTTTGAGCAAAATTCTTAAATTAACGAAAAAGTAAATTGTTTTTATTGTCAACTTCATTTGCTTCAATATTGTATAAGTAGAAATTGCTATTTGAATAATTGCACTAAATAATATTGTGATGGCATATTCTAACATAAGTAAAAAAATAATGATAATTATTTGATTGCGAAAGCAACTGTTACAATTTTATGATTGCTCTAGTTAATTAGTATGACGTTAGCGACTCTATTGTCTTTGTAAACGGGTTTGATGCTTTATTTTATACTTAACCCCAAAATGTATTGTTTGTTGTATTTAGTGATTAGTCCGAGAACAAAGTAACGCTAATATTCTAACAAAATAAACCAAGTTTTTGATAAACTTTATTCAAATTACTATCATAATATAAAATTTTTGCTGTTACTTGTGTTTAATAGTGTAGAGTGTTTTAATTGTTCCTTAATATTCTTCAGTGTATCTAATTACATTTTTTAAACCTTCTAACCTCTTTTTTGGCAACATGACTGAAGTAATTGGTAAAAGAACATATAACTATTTGATAGGTTTTCAAATTAAAGAATTAAATAAACACAAATTACCTACTTACCGTGACGTTATTAATTTATTTATGTATAAACATTCGACTTTAAAATTAACTATACGTGATAGTACTACCGAAGCTGTCAATGAATTAGAGGTTATGTGGAATAGAATTGGAATTTCTACGACACCGAAACGAAATAGTATTCGAAAGTTTGAAAAGTTTTATAACGAATACAAAGACATTAAGAAACAGTATTTTTCCAACAATAACTCAGACAATCAAAAGCACAAAGTTGAAAATTTTGTTACTCAACTAAACAAATTATTTGATATTGCTGATAATAGTGAAGTTAAAAATCTTTCAAGTGATCTACAATTATTTTTAGAAGAATGTCGTCAAAACGATAGTAATAAATGTTTACCATTAATATCTGAATTAAACGATAATTCAATTATATCTTCTGATCAATCAGTTTTACAGGATGAACAGGATAAAACACTAGATGATAATAACAATGTTGATGTTGAATTAAGTAAGTATGGAATTTTACTCACACTGATAATTTATTTATAGTTTTTGCGTTCTTAATAGTAAATTTATCCCATTGTGATGTTATATTTTATACTTTTTTGCTATGATCTTTGCACAAATAATTATTTCCTAAGCAATTGTAAGCTACTTGTGTATTATTAATATGTTTCTACTTTTTTTGTAGATCTGAGTCAGAAATTATCGCAGTTCTCAATGTCTGGTGAAGAAAGTAGCCAATCATCAAATCAATCTGAAAAACGACCTTTGTCAGATTACGAAGACGAGCTTCCGCAAGCAAAAAGGAAACGTAAGATTGATGTTATGACGGAAATTTTAGTAGCGGTACTGGATCGTACTAAAACTAGCAATCGGAGTGCAATGCATATTATTTCTGCTGTAATTATAAGTCTTGGATTAGATATTGACAATTATAATATTAGCTACACGACTGTTCGTAATGCTCGATTAAAGTTTCGAAAAACAGTTGCTGGGAATTTGAAAGATGGAATACAGGAAACTGCGCAAAATCTCATCGTCCATTGGGACGGTAAGTTACTTCCGGAACTTTCCAATCAGCCAATGAAAAAAGTCGAAAGACTTCCTGTTGTTGTTTCCGGAATGAATGTGGAACAATTACTCGGTGTACCTGCTTTAGATGAGTCTACTGCAGCTAATGAAGCTGAAGTCATTTTTGAAGCCTTAAACGAGTGGAATATTTCTGACAGTATAGTAGGAATGTGCTTTGACACTACTAGTGTAAATACTGGTAAATTTAAAGTTTGAATGAATTTAAAAATAGATTAATTGTAAAAATTAAAGGAACATAATGATTTTTGATTTTTAATTGTCAATTTAATTTTTTTTAATAGTTTATGATTTTAATTATTTAATAATTTTGATTATTTCTTACAGGTGATAAAAGCGGTGCGTGCGTTTTATTAGAAAAAAAATTAAACAAAGAGTTATTATATTTGGCTTGTAGAAACCACATTTTCGAAATAATATTGAAAAATGTAGCAGCAGTAGCGTGGCCAAGTACTAATAGTCCTAATGTACCGATTTTTGTCAGATTTAAAAATAATTGGGAAAAAATAGACAAAGTAAAATATGATATTGGTACAGAGGATGTAATGATCAAAGATATCTTGAACGAAAAAAAAACTACTCTACTATCTTTCATCGCAGATCATCTACAGGTAAAAACATAAACGAAAAACTTTGCACAGTTTCACACCAGTGAAAAAAAAAATTGTTGAGTTGTGCTTTATTTTTCTCACTAAGTAAACAATTGCCATATTTTAATATTGACTAAAATTTATTTCTTACAGAATCGAGCTTCAAGAGATGATTATTATGAACTTTTGAAGTTGAGCTACATTTTTTTAGGAGGTGTCCCGAACGGAGGTATAAAATTTAGAGCTCCTGGCGCTATGCACCATGCTCGTTGGCTATCAAAAGCTCTATACAGTTTAAAAATATATATGTTCAGAAAACAATTTCACATCAACCCTTCAGAGTTACGTGCTTTACGAGAAGTTTGCGTATTTATTGTTTTGTTTTACGTTGAAGCATGGTTCGTAGCAACCAGTGCTATTGAAGCTCCTTATCATGACTTAAAATTATTTCAAAATTTATTGGAGCACAAAAATCATCATCCAAAAGTTGCCGAAGCTGCTTTAGAAAAACTTTCTAAACATTTAGGGTACTTGAATGAGAACCTTACAGGTTTAGCTCTTTTTGATAAAAAAATATCCCGAGAAGAAAAATTAAAAATAGTTGATTCGATAAGAAACAAAAAATCGAGCAATAGTAAAAATTCTCGATTTACTTTGGATAAAAAAAATGTTGACACAATGTCATCTAAAAGTATAAGTGATTTTGTGAATCAAGGATCTCTTACTATTTTCAAAAAGTTTAATTTGACGTATGAATTTTTAGACCTTGACCCTGATTTTTGGGAAATAGATGAAGAATATATTACTTGCTGTGAAACTTTTGAACAATTACGTGTTGTAAACGATACTGCTGAACGGTGTGTTGCACTCATTGAAAAATTTAACGAGTTTGGTACGTATGATGAAAGTCAGAAACAATATTTGTTATTAATAGTTCAACAATGCAGAAGAGAATTTCCAACGTGCGCCAAAAAGCTTTATTCAGCTATAAAATCTTAATTTGCTTTGTATAAAAGTCGAAATAATTTAATATTTATCAACTTATTTATTTATGACTATTGACATTTTTATTAAATTTGCAACATATTATCTAATACTGTAATCTGTTATTTGTTTCGATTAAAGTTTTGTTGTTTTTTTATGAATTGATGTGTTATGTTTATATTTATTTTAGTCAGAAATCATAATAACTCTGAAAAAGTTATTGTTGTAGAGAATTATATCGATAGTAAATAAGAAAGTTTAATTTAAATAGCATAATTGGTTAATGTTTATAAATAACTTACGTTTTGAGATATAAAAATGGCCGTAAATTCATCAAATATTTGTAAAAGACTATTTTTCACGATTCAGCTCTGTTTTTTTACTATTTTTTTACGAATTGTTAAAAAAAATTGCAAAAAAAAATGTTCATTCAAAAAATTGAACTTTGATGACTTCTACTGGCGAACCACTACGAGTTACACAAAAAAACACTAAGACAATTTTGTAGAACGTGAAATTCCCTGCAAGGTCCATAAAACCGATTCACAATATTGTAAAAAGCGGGCGAGCATTAGAAATTTGAAAAAAAAAACATTTTTTTTACATGCATTTTAAATGGGAAAACTTTAAATTTAAATTGCAAGTACTTAAAATTGATATTAAGAGCTCTACCTTGGTGAAAATGTTTTTTTCTATAGGTTGATTAATATTTTGCTTGAGCGCCGAGAAAAAAAAAACTTTGCGGAAATGAATCACCCTAATGTTTAATGATTGGAAAAAGACATTTTCGTTTGTCCTGCTAATTATCAAATACTATTAAAAAGTATAAAATAGTGATAGTGAGAGATGCAGTTCAAAAAACTTTACAGCATTCTACATATTTTTTTTAATAGTATGCCAAATTTTAATAATCAATGTTTTGTACTTTTTAAACTGTGCACAAATTATTGGATCAAACGTCTTACCTGAAGGAAGTTCGATACTAATTATGCGAGCATCCTTGTTAGTGGACATAAAGATAACCATGTAGTATACCTATGTTACGCCGCTAATTTACATGTTTAGATTTAAAATTTATTCTATATCGCTGCCTGCCTAAATTAGTCATTACCTGTTGTGGATCCTAATCATTAAACAACGTAACAAAAAATAATATTGAATTTTAACAATCCAGTTTTATAATTTTTTAATACTTTTGCGAATATTGGTGTTACGTCTTAATTGTAAAACTTGTTAAACACTACTGATCTCTTTGTCCTTTAGTTTTTCTTATGGTTTCGATATCGACGCAGATTATGAGGACGGTCGAGGTACATACGTATGTGTACTAAGTGCTTGAGCTACCCACCCAATAGTTTGGGGAGATACTGAAAGAACTGGAGCGTTAGTGGTTAGAATAAAAGGTGCTGAAGACCTGTGAGACTTGGTTTTTCCTTTTTCCCCATAAAATAAACATAGAGGAGAAGTACCAAATATGGAATACCATTTTGTTTTTGCCTTGTATTTTTTGTTTTTTTTTTTTAAAGTTTCTACTTTTATTCATAAACATACATTCGTATTTTATTTATCGGGTTTTGATATTAGAAATGAGAAAATTTGTATACCGGCATCCTCAAAAAATAATCTTTGAAAAGGGGGAATTTTGTACCTAATGTGGAATATGTACATAATATGGAATAGGGTAAGAATAAAACAATATAAATTTCAAAACATTTTTTAACTTTATTAAACATATATGAATTCCTTTAAGAAACGAAGTTTAATTTAGTTTAGACCTTGAACAAGTAAAAGTCTACCTATAAAAAATAAAATAAGGGTAATGTATTTTTTAATGAAATGCATATTGGCAAAACAAACTAATGTTCTTTACAAAATTCACAAATGAAAATACCAGTTTCACATCCAGAACAATCGATATGGCACCACTCTTTGCAGACAACGCATTCTATCCACTTCTCCCCTTTTCTATCATCCAAAAACTTTTCATTGCAATAGGAACAAGTAGCGTCATCTTCCTGTGGTTTGTCTGCTCCAATGTCCTCCATGTCATCCTCCTTAGAAGAATTGTCTTTGAAACTCGCGGACTCTGATTCTGAAGAAGAATCTTGAATAATCGCCTTCTTCTTTGAAGCACTGGTTTTGCGCAAATTAATGTTACTACAGGTTGGTCGATTTAAGTCAACTGATAATTCCGCTAACACTTTACGCTTCACTGTTTTAGCTTCTTTTGAAGAGACTGCATTTATTGAAGTTTCTAACTCATCTTTATATGGAGATGAGGTTATAATTACTGCCTTTCCAGGTGCCCTTCCTCTTCGAGGCCCTTTCTTTTCTTTAAAAGTTGACACCGGTGAAATATTTTCGGGTCCAATAAATTCCCTTGCTGCTACAGCAATATTTTTGTCTGCTGTGGCTTCCCCTTCCTTAATATTTTCTTGTGCTGCAGCAAGGAAATCGCTGTCTGTGAAAACATGACGATTTGGGGGAAATATTCCTGTTTTTTTAAAACCGTTAACGGCAATTGCCCCAGTTTGCACCTTTAGATACGCCTTTCCAAATAGTTCAGCTATGTCAAAATGTGTGACTGCCCTTTGATTCGATCTCAAAAATAATCTCAACTCCTCACTATAATGGGCTTTCAAAGTTCCCATTAACGTTTTATCTAAAGGTTGCATGTGGTGTGTAGAATAAGGGGGCAAGCACATTATTTCAACAAAATTATGCCTTGCCAACTTTATCATTTCCAAATTGCGGCAATGCGTATGATGTCCGTCCAAAACTAGCAACACAGGATCGTTCTGTGATGGTTTCACCTTTTCAATATAATGTAGAAACCACTGAATAAAAATGTTGGTTTGAATTCACCTGCTTGGATGACAAACAATTTTTGTCCCAGGAGGAGCACCCTTTCCCAGTAGAATATTGGTATTTTTTCTGGGGAAGATTAGAAAAGGTGGAACAAAACTTCCTTCAGCACTCATACACAAAACTGCCATAACTAAGGAACTCTCCGCAGATGTTAAAGCTCCTACCTGCTTCGTGCCCCTAAGCGCCAGAACATATTGGACTTTCGACTGAATAATAGATAAGCCAGTCTCGTCCACGTTAAATACTCTGTCAGCTGGATATTTGTGATTTTCAAATGCTGTCTCCAAAATATCAAAAAAGAGGGTCACGCTTTCTTTATTAAAGCCTTTGGCTCTATGGATGGACATCCCAGTTGGCTTCTTGACAGATATTCTGTCTTTGTGTCGCTTTAGGAATATATTCAACCATTTTCTTTCAGCGCTTTCATTATTTTTGGAAAATGGGTTTGGTATTCTATTTAAGGTAGCCAACTGATATGCCATCCTTTTAACATCACTTCGTGTTAATCCATAAAACTTTTTTTCCATCAAAAGCAGATACTCTACCAACTGATCTTCTAACTTTTGTGGTAAGACCGCGGATCTTCCTAATTTTGTTTCAACAGCCTGGGCTGGTGTAGCATTTGACTTAGTTGAAAGACGGAATAATGTCGTGCGTGGAACATTAAATGTATCTGCGGCTTTTTTGTACCCCATCTCGCGACTCCGCACAGCTTCGATTGCACTAACCATGTCTTGTTTCCTCCATTCTTTACGACCCATGATATTTTTCTGTAAAGAAGGCTAGGAATTAATATTTGGATTATTTTAACAGAAATCTTTTGCAGTTTTCTCATGAAATTCTATAAAAAAAAGCGAAGTGTTCCTAATATGGAATATTCTAACATAGGAACAGCGTGCTATTCCATATAAGGTACACCCGGCCATTTTTCTTTTCGTTTACCAAAGTTAGTAGGTAACACGCTAATCTTAGATTTCAATATAAGAAACCTAAGCTAAAGTTATATAAACATACAAGACAGAATAGGATATTACTGTATTTATTCTAATTGGGTATATCAAAATTTCGAATACATACCTTAAATAATTTACGATGCCGCGTAAAAACCTATCGAACTGCGAAATAACAACAGTTACGTTAAACGGTTCATAAACGACTGCCAGCACTCTCGTCTTGGCGTAACATGGTACTGGTGATGTTGTGGCGGTGTTGCCGCTCTTGGTTTATTAAATTTTAGGGTATTCCATATATAGAACATATTCCATATGAGGCACATGTCCTCTACTAATAAAGGCAGAGTCGAAGTTTTAGCATTTCGTCAATGAAAATTTGTATATTGTCAGCTTTCACCTTGACATTTTCAACTTTAATTTTTGAGAAAGTCTATACCCGTTGGGCTGCAAGCATAACAAGTTTGGCTCTTAGCTGTTTTAAGTTTTTCAAGTGAAAGATACTACTGAAACATTTTAAAACTGTGTTTTGGTCTCAAGTTTGAATACATTTTGGCATAACAGGATGACCCTTTTAGGAATTTCCTATTATACATTTTCTTTTATTATTCAGAATTTTTATAATGAAAGTTAGAGCAGAAATTCCAAACATTTTTTTGTACTATTTATAATGAGAGCTAGGGCAGAACTCTGGTTGTAAGGTTTAATGTTGACATTACCGTAAA